ATCGAATATTTCGATAAAGAACATCATTTGATATTTTAAATATTTTAAATGTTAATTATTGTAATATTTTAATATTTAATAAGAATTTATTGTGATTAGACGGACAAGATTTAATATATATTTAGAAACAATTGTTTTGTACGTGAAGAAATATAATTTAGACCAGTGTAAGACGGCGGGTCCGCAACTTGGCAGTATTATAAATGTGACAAGACTTAGACCTACTGATTAGTTGGTTTCCGTAACAGGTTAATTCCTAAGAACAGCTTTCATCTACTCAAAGACACAAAGACACTGCATGCAGTGTGACACTCTTATTTATTTTGAACGTTGTTGCAATCAAGTAAAGCTACAACAAAAGTCACTTTAATGCCACAATTCAATTAGTATTTCTGGGTTCTTGGACTTTATACATCGCCTGGCATCTAAACAGTGCCCAAGCGGAAGATATCTTCAGTTGACGAAACCTGATCGTAAAGGTATATACCTGCTTCAGGTGACCGACCAAGGTTGTCCAGTTACTGAAATTAGTTATTTCTAACGGGTCCAACAGGGTAGGTACTACCAACCTTTTTATGTGTGGAAGGGTGGAAAGAGATTCAGTTTCGGAAACGTCGCATTTTGTTAGGAATTACAGACAGCGGACAAATTCAAGAAACACCTGAAGTCTGAAGGAGAAATAACGGAATAATTGTATACATAGTCACACTATCATCACAAAGTTTTAAACTTCATCTTTACGTTATTTCAAAGGTTCCTGTTGTTCGCCTCTCCTTCAAACTGCACTTTTTTCTGATCATCGCGGTCCTTAGAGGATAACGGATTTCGTCGAACTCTGGATCCGGCGGTGTCCTATAATATTCATAAACCGGAGGGCTACGTGAAGACTCTCTTTTGTACAGCCCTGCCGGAAGTGTGGCAGTTTCCCGCCAACTAAATCTCGTTCAGGGTCATACGACACGTGTGAGGTCATCAGCAATATGGCAGCACCGCGTGTCAATACGTGACTATTCTCTTATATCTTTAATCTATTGCCGCACAGCCTAGGAAGACCGTTGATGCAATATCGACCAGGTACTGGAGAATTGTATGAAATTTTTATCTAGGCTGGATTACGGCTTTCCTAAATGTCGGGATATGATTGAAATTGTCTAAGACGTTCTTTTTCTGTAGCCTAAGTTACGTACACACCAATCGCTGCAATTTTCTCATCAAAATAGCTTGCTTTTAATCTTTGTGATTTAAGTGTTGGGGATTCTTCGTTTGCAGCAAATAATATTTGCAAGTCATTCACAGTAATCAGTTTTACAGAACTGGTATGGACTTTGTGATTATTTGAGAGAAATTTTCATGTCAGTAATATTTTGCTACAAGTGTCTATGACTCACAAAGAAGGGTAGGTACCGTTCAGAAATTATATTTGTATTAGAAGTGACTTCGCCAGAGGGTTGAAAGTCCATGAGTCGTGTCTTTCAGTTATTTCCGATTCTGTTTCTCAGCTGAAGGAAATTATTTTTCATGGGTTCAACAGTCCGATATGAATGCAGCGTTAAGTTCGGGACCAAATGAAGGACTAAGTAGTGTTCGTTGTCCACCACTGGCTTCTATTTATTCGCTTCTGCTTGACAAGGGACCCACTTAGCTAAAACGGAAGGTTTCCATGTAAAAAGCAGCATTTGAGTAGTAGATCTTATAGCTAAATGAGAAAGAGAATCAAATCCTACAATTCTAGGTACTGGGACAATTGGTGAAGTGAGGTAAAGGGTAAAGGTAAAGATGTCCCAGATGCTTATCAAAACGTGAGCACATGCAGTCCTTGGTGGGGGGGGGGGGGGGGGAGGGGGTTCCAACCACTGAACTATTCTACTAAATTTCGTCACGAGATGAAGATGAGTTGTGGGCTTGATGCCCCGGCCGCATTACGCCCCCCAAAATAATACAGATTTGCATTTTCGGGCCCCAGAGCAGGTCTGGTCACAGCACAATAAGAGAAAATTTGTTAGACTCGCACAGAGAGCTATATAGCCTAGAAAAAGTCATATACCAGAAATATCTTGCATAAGATAATGATGCATCACGACGCAAAAGCGATAATATCGATATGAATAAGGAACTTAATACTCATTACATTCATTCGTATTAATACAATATTACGCAACTGAGTTCTTATTGTATAATAAGATATGAGTGTTTAACTAACTTCATAACTATCCGATAGACAAACTATCTACACAACTGTTGCACAGACTAATTACATGTTATGCAACAAAATGACTTATTGTCTTTTAAATGCCAAACAAGAAATTAATTTGGAATCTGAATAATTTCAGTTCTACCTACCCAAATAACTGAATAGTTAACTAAACAACGAACTAATAGGCTGACTAACAAACCGAATGACTGACTACGAGTCGAAATAACCCAATAATTCAATATCGCGTCCAGACCGGCTGTGGGGCCAACTGGGCTTTCTGTCTAGGGTGTATGAACACATTTGTCAAAGCACATAAGCGTAAAAATTTAGTAATCAGTCATTTTGTGGTGTGATGCCCTCTAGTTCAGCGTTTCTCAACCTATGGAACGCCTATCTTTGGTGGTACGCAAACTAACAAGAACATCAGAAGATAATAGTCATAAATAAGGTTTCTCTGAACGCATTTGGTCAGTGGTACATTTAGTGTGCTAAATTAGAATTAGTGTTACGCCAGCGAAAAAGGGTGAGATACCTTACTCTATTTGATTCCATCTTGTATAAACCTTTCAAGCCCTTCATCTAGAATATAACATAGTGAAGTCTCGTAGAAGCTGACCGACGTTTCAGAAGTGTGCTTCCTCTGTCATTAGGGTGATACACACCTCTAAAACATCGGTTAATTTCTACGAAACTACACTGCGCAATATTCCAGAAGACAGACATCTTCATACTTGCCTTGAGAACCTAAAATCACACTTTCCCACGTTTGTGAAATTTGTCAATATATGGTGCTGAGCGAGAGACCAACGAAAGAAAATAGTAATTTTTGGTGTAAACATAGGTCCGTGAGATATGCGCGCGACTAGACTTACGTTTTACAACAGACGATACATTTAACTCGACGGTGATAAAGCTGACAGTTATATATCTATGTCTGGCTATTAAGAAATACACTGTAATGAGAAATGAAGGTTCATCACTAGCTCTTTGAATACCTTCTTTTAAAACCATTTTAATAATATCATCACATGTACTTCTACATTTCGGAACTGATTTCCACCTACAAATGTTTATAGCAGATCGTATCCAGCGCCAGCATGATACAGTCAAACCCAGAAGTTGCATTTATTTAAATAACAATTTTAATATTACCGTCTCATCTCTCAAGTTGCCGATTTCGTTTAAGGTTTTTGGCTAGAATTTTGAAAAATATCATCTCATTATACAGTTATCTCATAACCTTCTAGATAAAACTTTCTTCGGTGAAGATGTTCTCTACCACCCTCAAAACTAGAAACTAAATGTTATCATGCCACAACCATAGATAAAGAATATTGATACAAAATATCCCCCCCCCCCCCACAGGCTTGTTTCTCACTAACCTCATAACGAAAGAAAAACATAAAAGGTATAAATGTACGGAAGAAAGATAGGTAGAAAGAAAGAAGGGGAGAAAGACCGCTGCAGTAGAGTAATAATCGATTGACGTGGACACTGAAGATTTAAGTTTCTCAACAGTCTGACTTCAACCCCTCCCCAAGGCGCCTCGACGGGCGAAATAGCTCCGCATTGACCTTGGGTATTCCGTGCGGAAGCAGCAAATTCCAAGATGCCACAACTGACGAGTCGTTCATGGCCATCCCTACGCTAAGGCTCGCTCCAGGGCCTCCTCCTACTACTATGGCCGAGCTACACAGCGTGCAGCAATAAAAAAGTAGTTCGCCGGTTATCCATCATATTTGTGTTACAAGTACACATCGACAGCCAAGAATTAATGTTTCAAATTGGTGAATAGCATTATTGGGACGGATTATAGTATTGTAAATAGGGTATGGAACGGTTTAGTCACCAGACGATGACCTACATCATAGGCCGGTGACAGGGCGTCGTACGTGGAGGGATACATTGGAATGGCGCGCGGGTACGTCAGCTTACCGGCAAGCTAGCTCTTCAGTCGGTGGTTCGCAGTGAGCTTGGTTGCGCGCGTGTTGTGTCTCAGGAATATGTCTTGCAACCGTTCTGTCTGTTCGTCGTATAGTTGCAGTTGTTTGTTATCTACGTTCTTGTTAGCCACTTGGAGAAAAGTAGTGTACTTATTAGTGCGTTATTAGTGTCAAGGGTGATACCGAGGTAAGTACCAGCTTTTTCCTCGAGATATAGCTGTCATGGTTGTCGTTACGTGGCATCTTATACGTGGCGTGTTACAGATGTGTGACAAGCTGTACCCGTCAGACGAAATATGGGACAAATTTGGCATTCCTAATGCCTATTCCTGGTCTCATACGGTGTTTGCTGTCGCCGGCATGATGGAGCGTCCTCAGGTGGTGCCCAGTCACGTGATGGCTGGCCGGCACGACTGCATGTGGTCCGGCACCTGTAGCAGCGGGAAGCACCAGAAGCAGTGCTACGTGATAGAGCCTGTGGTTGCTGTCACAGTAACTGTGCGCCCTGTTAAATCTAGCCGCAGCCTTTTGAGGACTAACCGTGCAAAGGCTCCAACCACGTCCCCTCGCCCAGAAACTCCCTCGGAATCTGAGGAAGATGAATCCCCTGTGTGTGGTACTGTATGTGATAACGAGGACCTATCTGTAGCCGTGTCTGTGTCTGAGGTCACCGGACAGGTCATGAGGACTAGGAGTGAATTTAAGACCCTTTCACCTCCGCCTTCCCCAGTCCCCGCATTCTATACGGATCACAGCTATCACATAAGCAAGAGTCCCGTGATGTTGGATCGCTTGGGCGTCCAGACACCTTCTGATTCGGGTGAGTACCACTGTAATTGCGGTAATAATAGTGCATGTAACGCAGATAGAACATGCAGATTTAATTTAATAGTCATTCCACAGCACTAATTTACCTACGGGTTAGACGTAATTAACTTCTTGGCAAAAAATGTTACAGTATTGCGTCACCACGCCCCTGTCCGTTTCCTAGACAACGTCTGCGTGCGAAAGAGTATAAAGCGCGGGAAAGTCGTTACGCTCATTCGGGGCCGGCCTTTATACCGCCACGTATCACACATACGTCGTGGCATTTAAACATCTGGTGGCATTTAAAACGGGTTGTTTTATTGAAATAGTTATGTCTGATCACAGGATGATATAAAATTGTAACCGAATTCAATGTTGCAGTACTTGGGTTCGTTTCGATATGCATGATGTGGATTACTCCAAAAGAAAGTTATCGATTGGGAATGTATATTCTGCGAAAATATTTGTTGTTAATCACCGTTGCATAATGGAATACTTGATCCAGTATGAATGCTTGATGAACTGGAATTTATTTAACAAATGAAAAAGAAACACCTTCACTAAGTTTTCCATACTGTTAATAATTTCTGAGAAATTTTTTAACTATTATCAGTAATTGCAACCAGTAATTATTAATGAATAGGGAATATAAAGAATGACAGAAGTTACGAGATTTAAGGTGCTGTTAATTTATGTTAATTTCCTACTGACGTAGTTTCCAATATCGACAAGATATTGCAATATTAAAAGTGACTGCGAAGTTTCTTCATGTCAGCTTTTACTCTATATATAATTGCACAGTTTCAACATCACGTCTGGCGTGGAGCAAAGTCGGTAGTGCTACTAGTTTAGTTCACAATTAATCTGTTGCGACTGAGGGCTTGTTTGCCATGACAGATGTATTTAAATCCCCTCTGGCATGTCATCGATGAGACAGCCGTTTCATCGACGTTTCCATTCATTTGGTATTTTCAGAGAAGTTACATCCCTATCACGTGTTCACTATGGTTTTCAAGGGTTGCCTCATTGCGGTTTGCTGATCGAATTCCACATTCGTTCTGCTGACATTTGATACCCCCTGGGGGTAACTTTCATACCAGTGCAGTACTTTCTAGGACACCGTCTTGTCTCTTGGGCAGCTTGTTTTTCTCAATCATTCATCTTTGTGCTGTCACACGAATTGCGAGTTGTCTGATGACCTGGTAGCCTAAATCGCAGACCTCCAGATACCGCTAATTTTCCTTTCATTTGATACGGATGTGATCTGCAATTGTTTACCCGTTAAGAACAAGCATGTAACTACTGCCCACCGGTAACTGTACCATCTGCTTTAGCGTTAAATAACTGCAGTTCAGCCACAAAGTATGTACTCATTTGAATTAGTTATCACAATAAACAACTGTTCTGCATTTTAATTGACTGATCTTTGTAACTGGCGGTGCATTTTCTTGGAGGTAGGGACCTATTTTTAAATATCATTTGGGAGATCTTCGACCTCCCAATGGCTGAGTTACTCATAAACAGCCCCAGGCACACAAATTGGGAAATCAAGGGACGGAGAGATGCTGTAATATTAAAATACCCTTTAATTAACATTTAATTTTGCTGCTTGCCTTATAAAGTAACACTTTGGTCCTCGAGGCTGCCGAGAACCTGGGCCACGTTAACGACACCCCGCTCCCAATCTATTGATCTCTTTCATTATTGAAATCACAAACATTCAGTCTAATAAAATAAATCAGTTGATTTTAAATAATTCTTGAAGTAGCGTGGATATTGTGTACGACCAAAAGTCCCAACTCCTTGCGTCCCCAGGAGGTTAGGCAACCCATAGAACACGTGCAGTCGGTCTACCGACACCCAATTGTTTTATCTGCGAGGCCGTGGTTATGTTAAATGCTGACCAATTCCGCTGGCCAGCCCTCGTGCTGTGGATCAAGGATTTAAGTGAAAAGATCTGTCGTTACCATAACGTAAATTAATGTCTTAGATTGTGAAAACCAAACACAACACACTTTGACTGAAGAAAGAAATTATTTTTAGTGTTAGAGTATGTTACAACCGAGCCCTGAGGTTGCGCGGTTAAGCACGAACGTCACGGATAACTTGACGAAATAGGGTCACCGCGAGTCATGGTCATTTTGCATTAGCGTAACTGTCGCTAAGCGCTGCCCTATCCTTGAAACTACGTAACACGTGAGAGGGCAATGACTGGGATTCGAACCCAATATTAGGTTCGATGCGGAACAAGTACAGGAAATTCCGGCTTGCAACCAAACTGGTTTTACAGATTCACTTCAGATTGTTGCAAGTTACTTCTACGCGAGTAGTAAAATGGAGACCGGCCATTGTTTCTTCCGAATATACAACACACATTGTTGCCAATTTATTATTTCTATGTTTTCCTGTTCAGCACCTACGCCGCAAGGTCGGTCATTTTATGTGCATTCGTGTATTGTTTTTATGGTACAGGTCCATTCATTTCCGTTGTAGTGATGGTCAGGAATCTTATGTTTTTAGTAAATTTAAAGTTTAAAGCGAAGCCCTGAGGATGAGAGCAGAGATTTCTCTCGAAACGTGGCAGAGGATATGGTTTATTCAACATTCGGCCACCTGACGCGGCTTGTAACCCGAGAGTCTTTCATCAATTTAAAGTTTGCTTAATTGGCTTTCTTGATTTTGTCGAACACATAATGAACTGGTTGAAAGCTGTTATTTTTAATGCTATTTTAGTAGCAGTATTATTATACATGTATATATTTATTGCGTTTAATTTTGTTTGTAAATTTTATTATATTAATTAAAAATGTTAGAAATCAGCCTGCAATTTTCCTACTCTCTTTAGTGGGGGTTCGTGTTTGTGCCAGTCAATAATTTTTGAACCAGTGTACGTGTTTCCATGAAACGTAAGACCGAACGTCGCGGTCGAGATATTCCTGTTCGGGAGGCACCGGTTCAGATCTCTGTTAGGAGACCAGATATGGTGTAAGGTTTGTGGTTTTCCGGAGTTCCTTCAGGTAATTCTGGGATAATACATTAAATTTGTACACGTCCGCTTTGTTCCGTGACCTTTCCAATTCTGGATGGCCGAATTCGTTGTCGCCGTTACTGCTTCCTGACGGGCTCTGAGGTCCAACCAGCCACTTGTCTACCTCGGGGATTAAGCAGCAGGAGCGAGTAGCTGGCCGTGCCAAGGTTAGGAATGCGTGGATCATTATCTCCACTTCCCGTGGTGTGCTGGTTAGGCACACGGAGAGCTATACCTTTACTGTAACAATCAGTGCTCCAGAAATAATCTGCCCATTCGTCATGTTCGAGTTACCGGCGACTGGTGTCGAATATAACATATTCACTTAAGACTACTTACGATTACGGAAGAGTTGATTTTAAGCGTCTATTTGAAGACTACGAAATGATTATAATAATTTCGCAGTCTTTAAATAGATGCTTAAATTATTATTGCTCTGTAATCTTCAGCCGTGATTTATATTCCCCCTCCAGCACTGGCACAAATTCCCGCCCTCGCTGTGCTGTGAGGGGAATTTGCATAAAATTATTTGAAGTGGTAGTTACATGTAATATTGACTGTCCGTGTAATCGATGCAATTTTTAGTCTTCGTTGTAATTAATATTGACACTATTTGTATTTCTGGAGCCCTGACGACTAGACTACAAATATACTATTAGCTACTGTATTTATTTGTTACTTTAATCTGGTTTAAGGCCCGGCAGTGTTTTACTCAGGCGCGCATGCTTGTCTGTAGCAGGGAAGGGTAGGTGGGGCAGCAGCAAGGATCCCGAGTTCACTTACCCTGACAGTCCCGTTTCTTGGGAATTTGAAGAGCGCAGGGCTTCGACCAGAAGAAGAAAGACCCGTAGCTTCTATGATTCTTTGGCTTGCGATGGATCTACGCGACCCCATGGCAGAAACGAGAGAAAGAAGCCGAAAGGTTTGTAGATTCGTTCCTCCTGTCACGTGACCTTGAAACGATTAGAACGATATGTCTCTTCCGAGTTGGACAGAATTACATGTGAAGTTGTATATGGACTTTTTATAAGTGGTTTCGTTAGAGAAAATAATTAATTATTTGGCTCGAGGTCGTTTCGGTTTTGAGTTTCAGTCCTGTGTTCAATTTTGTTCAGCGGCAGATGCTGTCATGACGCCATGTGTTTACGAGGTTGCCTCCTGTCAACTCCCGCTCAAAGCATGTTTTGCTTCATAGCAGAACAATCAAGAAAATATTTACACAGTTCTTCTTCTTTAGTTTTATCCATCACTCCTTTGCCTTTTGTGAGGTGCGGAACTTCATCTGTCACACTAATGGAGGAACATAGATTGAAGGCGTTTTAGGTCACATTGCTGATATTTGGATTTAAGAGGAAATAACACGAGGTTGGAGAAAATTCTTAATTAGGAGCTTAATAAATCATACTTAATTCTATTAAGGTGATCAAATCAAGGAGTATGAAATAGGCGGATGATGTAGCACGCATGGGAGAGAAGAGATTTGTACACTCTGGTCAGGCAGTTTGAATGGAAGAGACTAGTTGGAAGACCTGGGTGTAGAGGGCAGGATAATAGAAAATTGATTTTAAATAGGGTGAATGGACTGGGTGAGCGTCACTGTTGTGAACATAGTAATGGATCTTTGGGTTCCGTGAAAGCTGGGGTATTTCTTCACTAGCTGAGGGATTATCAGCGTCTGAGGAAGGCCCCGGTTCCATGAAGTTTGTTCTTTTGTATCTCTGCGCTTTCTCTTTTTTTCCTTCGTTTACCTTTCATGATTTCTTGCTCGCTCACCCTCTGTCCCTAGTGCGTCCTCCGGAGGAGACATATCTCAGGCCCTTCGATTCTTCACTTGAGATACTCTGATTTCTCTGCAGCAGGAAATCCTAGCGGAAGAAAGCCGGAGAACCCCGTCGAAGTTGAGTGTCAGACCCCTTACTACAATCAGTCTCCTCCGATTCTGGAAGTGTGTGATGACGAAGGTTTGTCGCACTCATGATTTACACGCATGCGTAGTAAATTCGTTTTCAGGGGTTGTAGGAAGGTTGGAAAGCGTCGTTAAACGGTCAGTAAGTTTGTGTGGAGTGGAAATCAGCTATTGGCTGGTTCCAGTTCTTAATTCGGTGGGAAGTATTGTACATGGCATGACTGCATGTTTTTAGTATTTTGAGTTCGGGTTGAGAGTTGTGCTCAGTTCGTAGTAAGGGGTGTAGCCATTGTTTTGATATGTTTGATCAAAGTGCATGAGTTGAACGCATAATGCGTGTGTTTCGTACCCAAAAGGAAGCCACTGAACCAATTTCAATAAACATTTATACAGGGATTTAGACCAGGAAGTTCAGAGTTGCAGACTGTCGGTCCAGCATAACCCTTTCTTCACATGGTATTTTTCTCAAAAACTTTTTTATATAAACAACTGGTTCGTCCCTTTGTTTAGACTTTATTAAGATTTGTAACATTTTCTCTTAAACATTGTTCGATGTAAGAAACATTGCATGCCTCTGCCAATTATAATGTGACCTTGTGGACACCAGAGTTCGTAACAATTCGTAATGCAATATTTGGATAAACATTGTCAACAGTACTTTTGTGCCTGAACTTAAAAATAAATGGGAGATAGACAATATGAAAACACGCATGGTCTCCTCTACTAATTTTGGCGGTGCCCGTAGCGGGAGAGCCTGAGGAAGAGATTGTGAGGCGGCGCAGTGTTCCGCAGGACGTGACGTCATAACGACGAGCGTCTGGATCGATGGGGCCGTGAAGCTAGGGCGTCGACCCGGCCGGCGGGCAGGCAGGCTGCTGCACTGGCAACCAATGAATTTGAACCTTTTGCTTGGAAGACTGAAAATTTTACAAAAATGAATTCATGGGGTGGGCGGGACACGGGAATGTATAAAAAAATTTGGTTAAGAAAATATTTTCTTGTACTTGGGTAATTCTGTACAGACCGGAGATCTTCAGAAGCTGATAGTCGTTCAGGCTGTCAACACGTTACCCACCTTTCTATATGACTGGAAAGTTTATTACCGTGTTCACAAGAGCCCACCACTGAAACTTAGGTGAGCCAGTTTAATCCTGTCCAAACTCTCTAACTCTGTGGTTCGTAACCATATTTAACTGCGACCCATATTACGGTTTTTGTTCCCCGATTTTAAATTCCTATTGTATTTAATAAGTAAAGATAAATAGGAAATTTATTATGGTAAATGGAAACCACTCCTAATTATTAAATAATAATAAAAACATTATAATGGTAGTCAGTTACAGATTGGAAATTGAATAGCAATATTGCAGTTTAACGTAGGCAGATACATGCTGAGAAGCTAAAGAACAGATAACATAAACAAAATAAAGGAACAGTGAAGCTTGTAAGGGAATTCAGAGTGATTAGTAGGTTTTGTATTTGATTTAGAAGATTTTCAAAGCATTGCTTCGTTAACTACAGGCGGTGTTGTAGTTCTTGATCTGGCTGTAGCCTATTCTGGAACGTCATCTTCCCTTGTCTTCCCCACATGTAAGACATGTCTGTTGCAACATGCTACTCTCGCCTTTTCAGTAGCTTGAATTATGGTATTCATTATAAAATTGCGTGCTTTAAAACCAGAAAAGCGCTTCACCGTTCTTCAGCGCAGGTGCAAGTAATAGTAGCTTTGCTACGCGGTTAGTTCTAAACTGTCATATTCGCCTGGGCTGCGTTTTTCGTGTTCGGGCAACGTATGATTTTGTTGTGACCTTGAAGCATCCGGTGACAGCTGGGGAGACCTAGACGTAGACGGGAGGATAATCTCAGGCGGGATTTATGGAAGATAAGAGTTGAAGGAGATGGATTTTGTTGGCCTAGGACAGGGTCCGGTGGAGGGCATTGGTGAATTCGGTGATGAACCTTCGGGTTCTGTAAGCCATATAGTTTGTTAATTATTTTATTACTGAAAGAAAGTTAAGTCAAACTGTATATTTGTTTCTGACGATACTGGTTATATTTTTAACAGTTGTGTGCAAGCTCGCGTGTTTTGTGGGAATGTCTTTTATTTGCGATTGCAGTAGGCCACGATTGATGCCTGAAGTTCAATGCCATGGTTCGTCGACCCGCGACTGTATCGATCTCGTCTCCTGCCGCATAGTGCGACCACACCCTCCCGACTAGTAACCTTGCTCCCATTCCGGTCTTGGAGCAGACATGCTTGCCATTGCGTGCCTTCAGTACACAATATGAATTACGATGGTTATATCGTTGGCCCATATGCCGGAAGTGCATGAAACGAGAGTATATGTGGAATTTATTACCGCCCAAAGTTTTGTCTGAAACTACCTTCCAGATTTCTAATTGGTTTTGGAATTGGGAATCTGCACTACGAGTTATTGGGCGACTTTAATTTCGGTCCTTACTGATCCAATACAACAGCAACTTTATCCAGTTGCAGCAAATTCCTCAGAAGCGACTCGTGTTTCTATATGGGTTTGAAACATTTTTTGGTATTGTATGTATTTACGGGCATATAAACAAAACATATGTACTGTATCTGTGGTCTTGGATTATCTTTGGCAACAGTAAAGCATAATTAACGTACATCCAGTCATGTAATACAAGCGTTCTTCCTGCTTTAGTGTTTTCCTGAACACACTTTTGTGATTTGCCTTTCAGACGCTTTTGAAAATTTAATGAAGTGTATTTTGTTACAAAACTTTAGAATAAGTCACATATAGGGTACACATTTGTTTTTAAATGGCGGAAATTCGTGTTTATAAATGACTTGTTTCTTAGATATGTGTTGATGGATCTCGTAAAGATTTTGTTCTTACTCGTTAATTAACTGCACTGTAGTTCCGTTATTCTCTTATCTTGGGTCGACTGCTTTCTTCCTCTGGGAATTGGTTGTGTTGTCATACTGAGGTTCTTTGCAGAATGTTTTGTACTTTCGTTGATGATTGTGAAACATTTATTTGAAACATATTTGGATGTAATTTATGTTTTATAAAATTCGCGATTCTGTGCGTGGTAATATTTCGGGCCGTTGATTAGGTTTGCAATAGCAGATTTACAATTGAAATAAATAATTCCAGTGCCATTGAGATAACCAAAAACATTACTGTTTGGAATATTATGTACTCTTTTTTGCTATTGAACGCAACCCGGCGATACTGAAAAGCGTCTAAGGAATTTAGGTTATATATGTGAATATATTAGCATCCCTTGTCTGTATTAATCATTTATGGACGTCATGTCGATGGTTTTGCTAGTAGTCATTTCACCTTCCATTTTATTACTTTCTTGTTTGTTTATTTTATTTGTATCTCTCTCAGGGTTGCAGTTGCATATGTAGTATCGTGTGTGTGTGTGTGTTGCAGAGGAAGAGATTGACGTTGTGTCTGTGGCAGACCGAGATAGGCTTGCCGGTCTGCCCACTAACCCCAGCGCCAGGGACCGGCAGCACCTGCAACGCACTGTGGCGTCCGCCATTCACCATGGAGCGTCGCGTGGCCACAAACGATGCGCCCCTGATCACGAGAAACGTACTTACAAACGGCGACGATCGCGTAAAGATGAAGAAGAAGAAGAAGAAGAAGATGATTCCAGCGACAGACGCAACCAGCATAACGACATGGAGAGAAAGCGCAGGGTGGACATGCGCGACGCCATATCGGTGCTGCGCTCGTTGGTGCCCGCCGTTGCTGATAACGAACGCGCAGCTAAGGTGCTGATATTGAATGAGGCCGCTGCGTACTGCCGACAGCTGGGCACAGAGGGCGAGCGCGTGTCGCGTTTGAGCGAGGAACTGTATAGACGCCAGAGGGAGCTGTCAGCGCACCTCAAGGAACTGCGCTTTCAGAATGCCAAGATGAGAGGCAATGTGGAGAAATCACCTCGCAAGAAACGCATGGGCAGCAGGTAATGGGAGTGTTGTTCCGAGACGTTACTCTTAATCTGGGAATTTCGTGCCTGGGTACGTGAGATACAGGCATTAGTTATTGTCACGATTATTGTCATGTAGTCCCATTTGTTAGTTATAACCAGTGACTGAGTTGTGTATGAAGTTGGTATAGTCTTGCTGTTTAGTCATGCCTGTTGGGTTATGTCTTACATATGGTGGGAGAAGTTAGGGGACTACACTATGTGTGGAGAAGGCACTGAAAGAACTGTGCTCAGTCACAGCTCAGGCTAGACTAACTCAAACATCCCCTGTGGTAATATTGGGAAGGACATTAGAGAAGCCTTTGTTTTGTTGAGTCTGTGTGTTTGAAAAGTCATTCAGATGTTCAGCCCCTGATTCATTGGTAAGATCCTAACATGTGGGTATTGCCCATGGGTCACAGTATGCCTTGAAATAACTATGTTTCCCTAGTTCTGTCCAATTGAAAAAGTTGTCTGTACACTTTCAGTCTTTATGCAAGTTGTAGCTGTTGCAAGTGGCCCTGAAGGGAGTATCAGAAAGTTTTCCAGGTAGTATACACAGTTTTCATAATA